AAGACGAAGGCAGTGCAGAGCAGGTTATCCCACCACAGCAGGATGATATAACTGATCAAGTTGAAGTGGCTGCACAGGCACATCAACCTCAGGTTGACGCAGATAATACACAGCTCCCAGATATCAGAAGAAGTCAGCGAGTACGCACGCTTACCGAGAAGGGTAAAACACTGCTAGACGCTAGACTAAAGGATCTGGAAAGAAGCTTTGATCAGAAGTATAAAAGATGGAAATATCACATCAATGGATTGAAAAGAGCCATTAAGAACAATGATGATGCAGAATTGATTTGTGAAGTTGTGAGCACAATTAACACCATTCAGTCTGAGGTTGACCATATTTATGGTGATATAAGAAGCATCACAAGCCCGGAACCTGAAATCAGAAGAAAAAATGACACTTGTCTTGCCATTACTAGCATTGCAAATGAGAAGTCTCAGAGCTTTCTCAATGGTGATCCTAAGGAAATTCCCTGGCCTGATTCAGATTCAGTGTTTGAAGCCACGGTGTCCAGCGTTATCTCAGCAACCTCCAGTAAGTCAAGGTCTGTTTCCAAATTGTCCAGTCGATCTTACAGTGATTCCCTGCAGAGAAGACAAGAAGCAGCAGCTGAAGTAGCGGCTACACAAGAAGTGATTAAAATAATGAAGACGCAACATCAACATGAAGAGGAAATTAGGAAACTCGAGGCAGAGGATAAAAGGTTAACAGCAGAAAGAGAAGCTGAAGAAAGAGAAACTGAAGCGGAGAATGCAAGGAAAAGGGCTCAATTTATTTCAGAAAGCACTGTAAGGAAAATAAAGCTGGAAGAAAAGAAAAAGGAAGTGGAACGGTTGGAGGAACTAAAAAGACACAACGCAGCACAAGCAAGGCTGCAGGTTTACGCTGAAAGCATCAAAGGTGATGAAGGAGAACGGCATTCTGCTCCTCTTCTTCAACAAGGACAAGGAGGTTATATTTTTCAACCAAGTATTCCTTTTTCTCTTTCTAAGCCATTCATACTCGCACAAGACACTGCTCCTTTCAACCAACCCTCTTGTCCCTCTCAAGGGTTACCAATTCCCCAAGCCCATATCCCTCAGTCACCTTCACTGCTTGCTCCCAACGAAGCTTCTAATGACCTTGTGAAGGCGCTCGCTGAAGCGATTACAGCCAATAGGATCCCAGTTCCAGAACCTGTTATTTTCTCTGGAGATCCCCTAAAGTATAATGACTGGAAGCTGTCTTTCCAGACATTAATTGATCGCAAGAACTTGCCACCTCAAGAAAAGCTGTATTTTCTACGCAAGTATGTAGCTGGTCCGGCCAAGAGAGCTATTGAAGGACATTTTGTGGCTGGAACAGAAATAGCTTACATGGCAGCCTGGAACATCCTCGATGACAGGTTCGGCAATCCATTCGTAGTTGGCAAATCTTATCGTGACAAAATACAGTCTTGGCACAAGATTGCTACCAAAGATAGCAAAGATCTCCAGGAATTTGTAGATTTTCTAAGCAGTGTTGAGTCAGCCATGCCTTATGTTCAAGGTTTACAAGCTCTGAATGACTGTGTTGAAAATCAGAGAATATCAGCCAAATTGCCGGACTGGTTAAGTTCACGTTGGAATAGAGCAGTCACCAAGTTTCAAGACGAACACAAAGGGTTCCCAGATTTCAAATACTTTGTTGAATTCCTTGTCAAGGAAGCTCGAATTGCATGCAATCACATCACGTCACTGCAAGCAATAAAGCCAGCAGAGCAAGAAAGGTACAAGCAAACAGATCAAGATCATAAGTTTCAGCGGAATCGCAACTCAACTGCCAAGACATTCACCACTAGTTCGAATGAGGAAAGGACCTTTATCTGTGTCTTTTGTAAGAGGTATGGCCACACCCTTCATAAGTGTCGTAAGATTATGGAAAGACCGATTGAGGAAAGATTGAAGTTTGTACAGTCTGAGAAGTTGTGCTTTGGCTGTCTTAAGGCTGGTCATAACTCCAGAAGCTGTTCCTCTAGGAGCCTGTGCGAAAAATGTGAGAAGCGTCACCCAACAAGCCTACACCAGGACCGTGTAAATAAATCCCCAGAACAAAGATCTAAAACCAGTGAAGATCAGTCCAAGGTTAATCAAAGATCTGCAGATAGATCAGCCGAATCACACAAGGTACAAGAGTCTAAGCCTGTGACTTCGAACAGAGTAGTTCAAGAAAGGAACGGCACTCATACCTCATCGATCATTCCAGTTTATGTCTCAACAACAGCTGAACCAAGGAAGGAGATTTTAGTGTATGCCTTGCTGGATACACAGAGTGACACTACTTTCATTCTAAAGGACACAGCTGAGACACTTGATATCAGGAAAGAGCCTGTCAAACTCAAGATTTCTACAATGACATCCAAAACGAAAGTTGTGTCCAGTCACAAATTGAATGGACTACAAGTAAGAGGGTTCCAGTCCGAAGTTAAAATAAAACTTCCAACAACTTACACTAGAGACTATATCCCTGCAAATAGATCTCATATACCCACGTGTGAAACAGCAAGGAACTGGCCTCATCTAGAACATCTGGCAGATGTAATGGCTCCTGCACTTGACTGTGAAGTAGGTTTGTTAATAGGATACAACTGTCCTCAAGCCTTACTTCCCAGAGATGTTCTCAGTGGCAGTGAGAATCAGCCCTTTGCACAAAGATCTGTGTTGGGTTGGAGTATCGTTGGATACAACCATGATGGCTGTTATCAAGATGAAATCGGTGTGAGTCACAGGATTATTATGAAGCAAGTTGTACCAGCTGGTGATCCAGCTCACAAACTCCAGTCTGAAGTTTACTTTGTACACAGGAACAAGGTAAAAGAGATGATCACTCCAGCAGAGATAATGAAAGTTTTTGAGTCAGACTTTGTTGAAAGGGGTGAGGAAGTCTCAACATCACAAGAAGATTTAAGGTTTTTGGCTAAATTGAACGAAGGCATTAAGCAAACGCAAGATGGACACTATGAGATGCCATTGCCTTTTAAGGGTGAGAGACCAGAGTTACCAAACAACAAAGCATGTGCAGAGCATCGACTCAGATCTCTAGAGAAGCGTTTAAGGAGAGATGAGCAGTACCGAAAGGATTACCTGGCTTTCATGAAGGACATAATGGCAAGAGGTGATGCTGAAAAGGTCCCGGAGTTCGAGTTAAGTAATCAACCAGCATGGTATATACCTCACCACGGAGTATATAACCCGCAGAAGCCAGGCAAGATTCGTGTCGTCTTTGATTGCTCTGCAAGATTTCAGAATACTTCTCTGAATGAGCATCTACTGACTGGGCCTGACCTCACAAATACCCTTGTTGGAGTCTTGTGTCGTTTCCGGAAAGGGCAAGTGGCCATCATGTGTGATGTGGAGCGTATGTTCCACCAGTTTCATGTTGCTCCGAAGGATCGGGATTACCTCAGGTTCCTATGGTGGGAAGATGGAAACATGAACGCCCCACCATCAGTTTTTCGAATGAAGGTTCACTTGTTCGGAGCGGCCTCCTCGCCTGGGTGTGCAAACTTTGGCCTCAAATACCTTGCCATGCAAGGTGAAGGCAAGTTTAATCAAGCCACAGTTAAGTTTATACAACGGAATTTTTATGTTGACGATGGTTTAGCAAGTGTAGACACTGAAGCAGATGCAATCCAGCTTGTAAGGGAAGCCAGGGGTCTCTGCAATACCGGGAAGCTTCGCTTGCACAAATTCATCACCAACAGCAAGACTGTGATAGACACAATTCCAAGGGAGGAATGTACTGAAGGGGCGACTGACTTTGACTTGTCACTAGGAGAGCCAAAGGTAGAGAGAGCGCTTGGAATCCAGTGGTGCATAGCTGCAGACGAGTTCCATTTCAGAGTGTTGGAAAAGGAAAATCCTTTTACTAGAAGAGGAGTGTTGTCTACAGTTGCTTCCATTTTTGATCCTCTTGGATTCGTTGCTCCCTTCATTTTAATTGGGAAAAGAACCCTACAAAGGATGTGTCAAGATAAGATAGGCTGGGACGAACCACTTCCTGATGACCTCAAGCCACATTGGGAAGCTTGGCTGCAAGACCTCCATAACCTGTCGTTGGTAAAGATACCACGTTGTTATGTGCCATCAACATTCAAGGATGTTCAGCAATATGAGCTACACCATTTCTCAGACGCCAGTGTCTCAGGCTATGGGGTATGTTCATACCTCAGAGCTGTAAACATGTCTGGAGAAGTCTACTGCACTCTCATTATGGCTAAAGCTAGGGTTGCTCCATCAAAGGTAGTAACAATTCCCAGACTAGAGCTCTCAGCTGCAGTGGTTGCCACAAAAATTGGTAATTTGTTAAAAAGAGAACTAGAATTGGATGACATCTGTGAATACTACTGGACCGACTCCAAGGTTGTCCTTGGTTACATTAACAACGAGGCACGTCGTTTCCATGTATTTGTAGCCAATCGTGTTCAGCAAATCAGAACAAGCACTGAGACTAGTCAATGGCGATATGTGGCTTCAGAACAAAATCCAGCTGACCACGCCTCTCGTGGGCTCACCGTAAAGGAACTCATGGGATCGAACTGGTTTACTGGTCCAAGTTTCCTATGGCAAAGAGAACTCCCTAAGGAAGACATTAATGTGGGAGAGATTAATGATGGAGATCCGGAGCTCAAGAGGGCACAAGTTCTTATGACCAAGGCAAGAGAAGAGTGGTGTCTGTCAGATCGCCTGCAAAGGTTTTCAGATTGGAAGAGGGCAGTGAAAGCCATAGCAAGACTCAAACGTTGTGCAAGGAGTGCGAAAGGTTTGGTAGAAAGATCCAACAATTTCACAACACTTGAAGAAAGAAAGGATGCTGAACAGTTCATTATTCGTATCGTTCAAGAAGAAGTGTTCAGTGACGAAATCAAGCATCTAAGACAAGGCAAGGAAGTTAATTCACGTCAGTTCAACAAGCTGTACAAGTTAAGTCCGTTTATTGATGACCATGGTGTCCTACGAGTGGGAGGGCGATTGACGCATGCAGAACTTCACCCTCACGTAAAGCATCCGGCCATTCTTCCTAAAGGGCATCATATATCACGTTTACTCATAAAACACTTCCATGAAAAGGTGCAACATCAAGGTCGTGGCATGACCATCAATGAAATCCGCTCCAATGGCATTTGGATTCTGGGATGCAGTAGTGAAGTTTCATCTCTCATCTACAAATGCATTAAGTGTAGGAAGCTGAGGAAATGCAATCAGGAGCAAAGGATGGCTGACCTGCCATTAGAAAGAATGGAAGCTACTCCTCCGTTCACCTACAGTGGCATGGACTGCTTCGGTCCGTTCTATGTTAAAGAGGGACGGAAAGAGTTGAAGAGATACGGACTACTTTTCACCTGCATGTGTTCACGAGCTGTTCATCTTGAGGTGCTGGATGATCTTAGCACTGATGCCTTTCTTAATGCACTGCGTTGTCTTATTGCTATACGTGGCAATGTTAGTCAACTGCATAGTGATCAAGGTACCAACTTTATGGGTGCAAAGGGAGAGTTTCTGAAGTTGATGAAGGGAATGAATCAAGAACGTGTGAAAGAGTTAGGCTGTACCTTTGTCATGAACCCGCCTGCTTCCAGTCATATGGGTGGTGTCTGGGAGAGACAGATTCGGACTGTAAGGAGTGTACTAACTTCCATTCTAGACAAGTCTGCAGCAAAACTAGACAGTTCTTCTTTAAGAACATTCATGTATGAAGTAATGGCGATCGTGAATAGTCGACCGTTGACCTCAGAACACATCAACGATCCTGTGGGACCGGAACCATTAACGCCGAATCATATACTAACAATGAAGTCCACCATCATTGCACCACCTCCTGGGGAGTTTGTAAGGGAGGATCTTTATCTTCAGAAGAGATGGAAAAGAGTCCAGTTTCTGGCGAATGAGTTTTGGACCAGATGGAGGAAGGAATACTTTGTTGAGTTTGCAGCAGAGAAGTAAGTGGAATAAGAGCAGGAGAAACACCAAGATAAATGATATTGTTCTGCTTCAAGATGACTTGGCTCCACGAAATCAGTGGAAGCTAGCTAAAGTGGTAGAAGTCTTCCCTGGATCTGATGGAATGGTGAGAAGACTTAAACTTCTGGTTAGTGATGCAGCTCTAGATAGCAAGGGTGCACGCACAAATAAGCCAGTCTACTTAGAAAGACCCATACACAAAACAGTGTTACTACTTGAAGCTGATTAAAGAGTTGGCTTGGATTAGTGTTTAACTGTGTAGGTCAAACGTGTACAGATACTTATCCTCTAAATGTTTATAAGTTCATGCTGAGTTACTGAACTTCTATTAAGAATCACACATTGTGTGATGGTGGGAGTGTGTTTGCTGTCACAAAGCTTTGGATGTCCACAATGTTTATTTCCACTAGATGGCGCTTGTGTACTTCAACACTCATTTATTTCAGCAACTTTGAATCAGTTTAATCTGTACATTTTTATATTTCAACTATTTTATAATGCTTGTTGTGATTAATATACTCAACTGTTGTACATTTGAGCAATAATTCTTTTTTCTAAGAGTTTTATGGATATATTTGATTTTGTTCCCATCGTGTCTTTGTATGTCACTTCCTGTTTTTGCCATGGAACAACGAGTCAGAACTGCGGTCGGAGTTTACAATTCTCCTGATTATATTAAAAGATGTAATCGCAAGGTTTAAAGTGTTTATCATTATGATAAGTCATGCAATCAAGAAGCTTCAAGATGTAACCCCCTCTCTTAGCTCACAAGCAGGCAAAAGTGGTATGTATTTTCTGTTTATGTACGAGTTTAAACTCGTGTGTTTTCCATGTAACTGACTGTGATATGTTTTGGTTGTATATTCATCCTTTTAGTTCTACGGTGTTGATGTTGATGTCTGAGTCCAGAGAGCATTAAACATCAGTTAAAAGAACCTCAGCCTTCGTGTTGTGACTAAGAGCGGTACACTAATTATGCGGAACAATTAAATCTAAATTTAAAAGGATTATGTATTCCTAAGTAAGTAAATTTAGAAACTGAATTGAATTGTGAAAAAACTATAAGTGGATTTTTTTTCTCTCCTTTATCTAGCAACAGGACAGATTTTAATCTGTTAATTACATATCCTGAAATATGACTGAAATATGATACTTTTTAAAATTCTCTGAAAGTTACTTTTGAATGTTCATCGAGCGTTCCTTTTGAATCTTCTCTGATTGTTACTTTTTAAATTTCTCAGAATTTCTGAAACAAGTAACATTTAAAAACACATCCAAGGAACGTCCAACTGAAACATTTTTTAAAAAAAAAGAAACGCTCCATGAATGATGTATAAATATTATGTTTGTTCTAAAGGTGTGAGAACATTTTTAAACACCTGATTAATGTGATTAGTAAAATAATGTTGGTTCATAACGCTGAGTCCTTACTAGAACATTCCTTGTCATCTGTTAATATCAAAAAGAAGAGGATGATGAACAACAATAGAAACTGCTGCAAACTTCTGGAAGTTTGTGTAAAAAGATAAACAACATTTCAGTGGCTTCTGCAGATCTCGAGGGAAGAGACCAATTCTGGATGAAAGTTTTCAGAAATTCCCCAAGAGGGCATGGGGTTCATGTTTTATTTAAATGTCCCCAGTAGATTGTGACTGATTTGCAGTTAGTCCTTTCATTGCACTGTAATGATGTTGTTGAATGATGCACTTTCAGGACATTTCTATAACGTTTCACACACACTGTCTGCGGTCTCAGTCACTCACTACCCAAAAACTGTGCAGTTTCTGAGGAGGATCTGTTTCCTCTCAGTCAGTCACAACACAAAAACTGCAGTGAAGAAGTTCATCTCTGAGGAGTAAGTCAGGAGTGAACACGAGTTAATCAGGAGTGACTCAGGAGTGACCCAGGAGTGATGCAGGAGTAAATCCGGAGTGAACACGAGTTAAGCAGGAGTGAAGCCGGAGTAAAGCATCAGACTGGTGGAGTTCGGGATGTTCGCGGTTCTGTGTGCGCTCCTGGTCCTGCGTGTGCCCGTCGCCGCGGATGTGCACGCGCTGAACTGCAGTCAGGTGAAGGACGCGTTCACGGCTCTGGGTTTGAGTCCTGTCATCAGTTTTCCCGCCGAGGAAACATCAGGTACAAGAGTTTAATCACACAATGTGAATGAATACAGGAGACGGGGCAAGTTGTCACAATCTCAGTCAGTGTATGCTGGTTTCACTCTGTAACTGTTTTAAAGTACTAGAATGATATAATATTTAATTCTGTCCTCCTGGTGAAGTTACAGAATCATATTTAACTGTCCATTTACAAGTGAACACAATAAAACATTAATGTCACTGTACGATGAAGTGATTTTCATATATATGATTAAATTATGCATTTAGAGTTGGCTATTGCACTGTACTGTTTTTCATGAATGGTCTTGTTTCATAGTCATTTTGTTGAAAAACCCATAATCGTTGTGACAACTTACCCCGTATAGTGTGGCATATTGGTGGAAATGCATGTTACTTTGTGTAGATGGTCGTTTCCCGCTGCAGTTTGGCATCTAATAATGTGAATTATGCATTAGTTCAACTCTCGTGCTGTTTTAGGAAAGCTGGCTGTCGGGTTTATTTGAGGAGCTGCGAATAACTGAAATACTGAGAACCATAAAGTGATCAGATGGACCAATAATTGTTAACGAATCATTAAAATCTCCCTCTCTATATAACACAATATTTCTGACCCTGCAAACTGCAGATTTGCTTCAGCGATCCTACTAAGTCTATAAGATATATCGATCGATAGACAGGGAATAATGCTATTATTTTGCATATTAGCAGACTTTCATGCTGTTTATATATAAATATAAGTAAGGGCTTATTTATGACTCATGGCTATAATTGTTGGTTTAAATAAAAGATCTCAAGGCTGTCTCCTTCTAAAGGCTCCTATAAACATAATTTTGTGGTTTGTGAGGATTTGGGGCTGTAATGTGTGATGGACTGAAAGTGTGTCAGCGATGAAGGACCTGAGATTTCTTAGAGTTTACGTGAATGTCACTTACAGTAAAACTGAAATAAAACTTTTAAGGAATTTCACTCCTTTTCTCCTCCCTGTTTTAATGTTCACAGTAAACCCCAAAAAAGAGGATTTGTTACGTTTTCGTTTGACAATACATTTGTACAATAAATCATAAAATACTTTATGCCCTATTTTTGTAATTGTAAAAGAATATTGAATTGTTAAAGTTTAGACATTCTGTTTGATTATTAAGAAAATCATTAAAATTGAATCCAGAAAATTAAAACGGCTAAAACACAGTCCTAAAAATTGAATTTGTGTTAAACTTTTAATAAATTGTTACAATTTCAATTAATTAGAAATACTTTTTGATTATTAAAATTGTATTTAACCATCACAATTGAATCTAGAAAAATGGAATTTATGAAATTAAACTGTATTTCATATGTGGATGCATGCAACATCTGCTGTCCTGATTATATTAATGCAATAGTAAAGTTTGTTTATTTAATTAGTCTTCAATATTTGCCATATGTTGCAAATCACCTTATTTGGATTTGCTGATAAGAGGCCAGAGATCTCTTCAATTCGAGTTTATTTCTATAGGGCTTTTCACATTTCACATGATTCCAAAGCAGCTTTCAGTGTTTCATACGCTCATATTATATACACCTATAATAAATTAGCACGATGACAACTTGAGCAATATTCCTCCAGTGTAAATCATCTGTTCTCTGTGTGAATATACAGTAAAGTGTCATTTATTCCTGAAATTCAGTGTCACATGACCCTTCAGAAATCACTCTAATATGAGGATCTGATGATCAACACACAGTTATGATTATGATCAGTGTGGAAAGCACTTCTGTGGAGATCTTATTTTTCAGGATTCTTTGATGAACAGAAAGTTCAGCATGTATTTGAGATATGATTAAGCATGTGTGTTGTGTCTGATGAGCTGAAAGCATGTTTGCATTATTTGTGTCGTCTCAGGAGCTGATCTGCAGGTTTGCGCAGCTCCGAGATCCTGCTGTAACCCAGAGATGGAGCAGATCTTCAGAAACAGAAGCTCTCGGGACTTCCAGAAGCTGATGGACGACACCAGCGAGGAGATGAGGAACACCTTCATGAGCGCGCATCAGAGACTGGACGGTACGACAAACACTCAATAAGAAGCGATCGTTCACAGACATGTATCGTAGACGTTCTGCTAATTGTCGAGTAATCATTGGCTGCAGTTTGAAAGGTCAAAGGTCAGAGCCACTGCTGAGTCCACTGACGTTCCTGCTCGACAGGTTTGGTCCTGGATCTGCTGGAGAGCACGGAGCGCTCCCTGAACGAGATGTTCCTGCGCACCTACGGGAAGCCGTACCTGCAGAACGCCGAGGTCTTCCAGAAGCTGTTCTCGGAGCTGAGGAGATACTACACGGCTGGAGGAGTGCATCTGGAGGACATGCTGAGCGACTTCTGGTCTCGTCTGCTGGAGCGCATGTTCGCGCTGCTCAACTCGCAGTATCTCCTCACGGAGGACTATCTGGAGTGTGTGGGGAAGCTCACGGAGAAGCTCAAGCCCTTCGGAGACGTCCCCAAGAAGATGAAGACTCAGGTGACGCGAGCGTTCGTCTCAGCGCGGGCTTTCGTCCAGGGCCTCGCGGTCGGGCGGGATGTGGCCGACAGGGTGTCCGAGGTGTGTGTGTGTGTGTGTGTGATGCTGTTTATCCAGGCATCTGATTCATCCTTCCCTCTGCTCATTTTGACCCTTTTAATTAAAAAAAAAAAAAGAGTGTTCATTGTGGGGGTCCAAGACCTGATGACTCCAGTCGCACTTGAACCACGAATCCACAAAAAAAAAAAAAAACTTATTTTTTTGGATTTGAAAGTTTTGTGGTTTGATATTTAAAAAAGTAACAAATCTCGGGTCAATCTGACCCCCTGAGGAGTTCATGGACTGCGAGGAATGCTTCAGGTCACGTAGAAAAACCAAAAAATGCTCAACAATCAAACTAAAACCTTACTAAAAAATACTCTATATTATCTAAATGTGTATCTGAATGGATACAGAAGTGACTTTAGGACCCAGCAGAACATCTCATTTGCTCCATATAGCGCTATAAGCCCATCTAGAGTCCTGAAACATCATGTGTTATTATTTTTCCACAAGACGTCAAAGACTCGCAATGGAAGATATTTAGAGCTGAATTAAGAGTTATTCTTGAAATGTGCTTAAATTAATATTAATGTATTATTTATTGACTAAATCTAGTACTTTAAAGGTAAATAAAAAATATATATATATATTTAAAAAAATGCATGAAATTAGAAAAAATAATATCAAAATGAATAGAGAATCGCTCCGTTTTAACTTACAAGTCCTTGTGAACTAAATGAGATCGTCTGCTGCTCTTATAACAGAGCTTGGAGGGTTAGTTAGGGTTAGTCAATAATTATATCCCTTAAAACTCATCTTTGATTTCAAAAATTACAAATTTACAATTTTTTTCCTTGGAAAATTTTTTTGTCATGCCTTGAACTCAAAACCCTCGCCTGATTTAGTATGCTCTATGAATATGCAGATGAGCCCCGCCTCCACTCACTCCCTCCCTCAGAGATCCACTGGTGGACGATCAAGCGTTGAACTGATTGGTTACGAGGTGGTTTGTGACGTCAGAAACTCCAGCGATTTCGTGTTTTTGAGGCTGTCTTTGGTTCACTGCAGTTTTAAGGAGGAGATACAGCAATGCTGTCCACTTATCAACGCACGTTATTCACGTATTACAGGACTGCTTTCCACATACGTGCATAATAATAATAATAATATTAGTTGTGTGTAGTCCCTGTTTCCGCATTGGGTGACAGTATCAGTGTGTTTCAGGTTTCAGAGGTGTGTGTGTGTGTGTGTGTGTGTCAGGTCAGCATGAGTGCGGTGTGTGTCTCGGGCTTCACACGGATGCTGTAC